AGTGTTGTTCAGCATGGGGGTGAGTAGAAAATGAAGGCTAATCATGTTTTGGGTGTACTATTCCTTTAAGTAAAGAGGTCAAGTTGTTTTACCAGAGTGTTTTCAAACTGCAGTATCTATACTTCTACTTAAGTAACAAATGTGTGTAGTTTTGACACCACTGTTCCACCCTGAATGTGCTAAATAAAAAAACAGTTTTTGCCAATTCGGTAACAACTCATGGCACTTTTTAAAATGACCACTCTGAGGAACGTACCAGTAGTTAATAGGTAACAGAGCAAACAAAGAGGAGGTCATAGAGTTACCTGGAAGTTTACCAGGTATAGCTTTATAGGTAAAGATACACCAGTACTGTTGTTGTATTATTACTTGAGTAAGAGTCAAAAGTAGCCACCCAAGAAATTAGTAAAAAAGTATTTGGTAAAAAGACTACTCGAGTACTAAAAATCTCGTAACATCCAATTTTACTATTTAAAACTATTTATTTAGACAGACCAAAAAAAAAAAAAAAAAATGTATATGTGGAAATTCTGCTATTTTAAACTCTATAATAAAATATATTATGGAATTAAATAGTTATTTTAAATGTTATTTTTTGTCCCTCACCCCAGCCCTAAAATACCTTAACCCAAAGCAGCAATTTTGTTTCCCTGTTTATGTATTAAATGCCACAATACTTAAACAAACAAATAAAAAACAAAGGGTTTTGCTCTGGGTGCTTTTTCGGAGACAAGGAAGAAAACAATTCCTGAAATATCCGTTATTTCTGAGATTGATTATTTTAGAAGACCACACAAACAAATCCTTTTTATGCCAACAACTCATAGAAGTTTTTAGTGTGTTTCTGTCTGTTTTAAATGAGCACAATGAGCTGTAGTAAATGCAAAAATACCCGTACAACTTGTTTGACAAGTAACCTAGTCTAACAGATTAAACACCAAAGACACTGAAGCAGTTTCCTCTGCAGTACTCTGTCTCTTAGTTTATCCTGACAGAGCACAGGTGGTTATATGTTGATTAAATTAGGATATATTCTCTTTAGCTATAGACAAATAAATTCATTTCTTGTTTGTTTTATCTACATAATTCTGATTAACTGTTAAATAATCTGTTACCACTTTTATCAATATTATGCGATAGCCTGATCATTACCAAAGTTTTAGAATGGAAGGAACTTTTGGAACCTGTCTGTCTAAGATCAGACAGGTTCCCTCTCAGTTCACACTTTTCACGCTTAAAAATATAATTTTAGGTTTAATAAAATAACTCTGCAAATAGTGGGCCACTTGCATTGATGCTTCTGTTGTTGTTTACTTACATGCTACAGGAAATGCATGCCTCAACAGGCCCGGCATGGAAAAAAAACGTACACAAGTTTATGTTTTAAAAAACTGTCTTAGACAAACAATTCCAAATCTAACATTGTATTAAAACAGGAGCTCAACAGCAAGAAAAACATGGGAGGTTTGGTCTGTTCTGTGTATTGCATTATTTAAGAAGTGCATGCTGTAGTAAATTTAGGATTGCTAAAGCAAAATTTCAAGACAAAAATACATATTTAACAACCAGGAGGGGCATGCTGAAGCAATCCTCTCTCCCTACGAGCTCAGACCTGTTGGTGGTCAAGTGACATTCATCAGAATGCTAAAAACAACAAAATAACATACATTTTTGGGTTTCCAATACTTACAAAAGAGATCTCTGTGTTTTGAAACTAAACAGAAGGTGGATTAAGTATTGCTTCCCAGCCAACATTATGTAAGTTAAACCAAAATGGATTTTTTTTTTTTGTTGAATCCTGCATCCTCCCCAAATAAGCAATGCTGATTTCATAAGAGAATGTAAAATTGTTTTAATAAGGTGCTGTGCAAACTAAATATCTTGTAGTTCTGTTCTCTCGGTTTTACTTGATATTTGAAAGTAACAGAACATGTGGTCCAAACTGTTGGAATGTGAGAAATGTCAGGCATGTTCTAACAAAACTACTACAGAGCCAGTGGAGACTTTACACTACTTCATGTGTAAAAAGGGAATTCCCCCCTGTTAACACAAACATGGAGGCAACAAATTTAATACATGGAATTTTTTTTTTAAACAAAAATATCAGTTGTCCTTTATTCTTTACTACATTTCCATAAAATGCACCATTTACAGGCAAACATTTATTGTAAGTAAGTGAAATAGATGCTTCCAGTATTTATAATGTTGCATTGTAGTTGAAGCCTACACCCAACAGTAAGCAGAGCGATTGCACAATGAGCATCCGTTGCATTAATATACATTGCATTATGCTGACAGAGTAACCTTTGACCCCATTTCTAATAGAATAGAGTGGCACAGACATTAGCAGTAAAGATAAAGACGGTAGGACGTTGAAGTGGATGACAAGCATTGGATGGAGGAGGACGGAAGAGGAAGGAACGATGCCAGGAGTGTTTTAGTTGTCCCCCTCTTTCATGGCCATCTTTTCCTTTTCAATATCTGTAATGAACAAAAGGCAGACAGATTAAAATGTTTTCTCTGGAGTTACTTTTAACATACCACCACTGTCTGAGGACGGGACGATGGGGTGAAAGCTGAAATACAAATATTTTAAAAAATCAGTTTTACCACCATTTGATTTTGTTGTATTATAAATAGATGTACTGCACACAGCAATGGGTTTAGCTATGGGTGATACTATTTTCCGTCTATGGCAGCATGCAATGTTGGGCGTTTAGACAAGAAAAAGAAAGATTCATCTAATTTACCCCCTGAAGAGTTATCTATTACTCATGTTCATGTCCTCCCTGTATGGTCAGGGAAGTGTAAGAAAGAATTGAGGTAGAAGTATAACCATGCTAAAGTTATCTGTGCTGCAGCTCATTATTTTGGCAGTAGTAGGCTGATACAGGCAATATGGCCTCCATGTAAAGGGCCAGTCTGATCCCCAAAAAGAAAAAGAAAAAAAAAACAGCAGCATGTTTTTATCCCTGGTGTTGCATATTTTATTGCTTAATGATAAATTCAAGGGTGTTTTTTGTTTGTTTTTTCCAGGACTGTATTTAATAATTTGGTCCAGAAAGAAGTGAAAAACTATCAGAGTTTTCTTTCAAATGGTTTTATAATACAAGCTTTCAATTTGTGAAAAGAAAGAAAATCCAAGCTTTAAAGCTTTTTGATATATTAAACCTATAGATTGAGTTAAGAAAAAAAAAACAATTTATTAATTGCCTTCCTTAAAGTCAGATTTGCTTTACTTATTTATAATATCCATCCTCGGCTCTATTTTTGTTTTCCGATTTATTTTCTGTTAGGATTATTAGTGCTGCCTACAATTTGTCCACCTATTTTAAAACTTATTTATTCCTCACCTAAGGATGTTTTTCATAATATAATCAAATTACAATAGTGCATGTTGAACCACATAAGATTAAGAATCAATTATCTGAACCATTGTGAACTTCTAAATAGCAATATCATGTAATAAAATTACTAAACCAAAAAATGTTTTAATTTACCTCTTGGATTTTCATTGTGAATTGTTTTAACACATTCCATTGCTCTAAATTAGTTTTAAAGCTAATCTGACCTCATTCCAAACTACTGAATATAAACTTCGGTTCTCAAACATAAAATCCACACTAAACTGTGATAACATTGCACCGTTTCATTAATTATGGTTTTCAATCGATTTCATTTTTTTTCTTTTGTTTAAATGGAAGCAAATTTTTTTAGTTAAACTTCACAAGATGGGTCCAGTTTTTAAATGAAATATGTTTAACTTTGAGGTGAATGATTTGTAATATTTTATTTATAAATGGAAACTATTGTGATTATTCTTCCATATGTGTGCAGATTTAACTGTTTGTCCACAATATGAGATTGAATAACACTTTATCAGTTGTCCTAACACACAGCCAATTGGGCGTGTTCACAGGTAAAAAACCCCCGGATAAAATAAGAAACATTTAATGTTCCAACATTTTCATCAGTTGTAGAGCAGTTAGTGAGTGTGACAAATACCACAGCAGATGGTTTCCATGTTAGCTTTTTTCCAAACCTATAATTTAATCCCATAACATAGCCCTATCATCTACTTTAACACTGTTTCCTCCCTTGCCATGTATGTCAGCATGTTGAAAAAGAAATGATAAGCAGGTCTAAAGGGGGGAAATGTAATAAAATTTTACAGGAGCCTCTAGTCCCATCTAGATTTTCAAGTATGTCTTTTCATTCTGAGGCTCTGTCTTTCTGGTTAGTGCATGCATACTGGGATAAATGGGCAGGAATGACAGACATCCATTGTTCTTCATGCAGATCACAAACTACAATTCAACATACTTCAACTGCAGAAAATGTTGCAAAATCTTCTTTTTTTTTGTCTTCATATAGACAAATACTCTATGTGCTAAAGGTGCTGCCCCTTTGTAACTGTGGTTACAAGTAGGCCAAGGTGATGTTATTGTGGGTTACATGGGTTGGTTTCCTTTTTCTAAATTTAGCTTGAATTGTATCTTCATCTTGGCAGCTTAAATTATGTCAGTGAAATAATTTAGGGGCTTTCACTATCTGTTAGATTATATTTAACACATTCAGAAGGAAACAAAACTATTTTACTCAATTATCAAATATAGGGGCAAACAAGCATTGTTTTAACTTACTGACCTGATGTGCATCTTGATGCCTATCTTGTCACATAATATTCCTTATATTCAAACATGTCAATATCCTGCTTTAAAACTGACCCTGATTCCAATACTGCTCATGTGTTACTGTGATCATAAAGCTATGTCCATCCTTAACGTGTTCCAGTAATAACTAATAAAGCGAACATGTGCAGACAGAGTCTCCTGTTTCTGTGTATCCCCTGTGAATGAGATAGATTTAGGTTAAGCAAAAGGCACATCAGGTTCTGGGCCTCCGGTGGTAAAGGATGAGCATTCTGAGCAAGAGATGCTAAATGAGTTACTGATCTTTGTGGTTTCTTTTCACAGCTATGTCAGGGGAGAAAAAAAAGAGAGAAATTTCCTTTTTTTTATTACGTAAGCCCTTAATACTCTTTTATGCAGATTATAAAAGAAAACAGGTGTGGACATAAAAAAGCAATCACATGTGGGTGAGGTCATGGATGTATATTTAGTAGAATAGAAGGACTTGCTCTCAAGTAGCTGGGTGTGCCCCTTTTTCTGATCTGTGTTGCAATGCTTGTGATGGGAGGGGAGGAGTCAGGGCATAATGGAGCCAACAAAACAAAAAAGAGGTGAAATGTGAAACGAGTGGAAACAAGGCCAACTTTAGTTAAGCTGTCACTCCCACAAACAGTCCCTCTTTGTCTTTAACACTTACCCTCTTTGGTTGGGAGCATGTTTTTCTCTTGTGTGTTTGTCTTCTTTAGCTTTTGCTTGTTGAACTTCTCCACTTCCTCATTGACTGGACAGACTGGGTTGTTGTCGCCCATTTTGAAAGAGTTCTGTGGGAAAAGAGGGCGAGATAATGCAAATATTAGATGCAAAATCAGGAGTGCATGTAGACTGGGTCCCACCTATTTGAAGGGATAATATATGCGCTATTCTGCTTTCATGCAAAAACCTTTACAGAGAGCTCTTGTTAAGAGTCCATTTTCACATTTACAGTTAGGTAAATACATTATACATTATGTAAATACAGTTATACTCTAAAACTGCTCGCTGATTTGCATTTATGTGTGGATTACACATAAATACTGAATGTGCGGTATGAAATGAGGTAACAACGCAGGTGTTAACAGCATAATCAAAAAGACATCACAAATATATATTATGCACAAGGCAGGGACCCTTGTGAGATTTTATAAGCCCAACAAAATCTTATCAGCTCCAAAGGAATGACTAATAGCATGAGAAGAGATGTCTACACCCTAAAACAAATACAACTCAAGCACACCTAGATGCTCAAAGCATGACGCTCTAAAACTGCAGCATTAGGTGACCTAGCAGTCAATCTTCCCTTGCAGTGAAGAATACAGCACTGTCAGGCAAATACCAGGTATAACGGGGCAGTTTGCATGCAACATCTGAACAGAGAGGCTTTAGGCTGAACTACAGCAAATTGTTATATAACCTAACAGAGACTCATCAGACTTAAGATATTTCATAAAATTATTCATTCTTTATGTTTTCACTGATTCTGGATAATTACAAAAGAGGTCAAGTTGAACATGACAAATAATAGAGGAGAAAGAGTTTTTTTTTACCTTGTACAGGGGTTGCTCTGTGGAACGGTCCTTTCCAGGTAAGATGCGCCTGTGTGTAATCCTTGCAAAGCCAGTGGTTTAAATAAGGACAACACGCCCTTCTGCAAGCCAACATGCACACTATGGCTCTGCCTCTGATTGGCTCCTACAGCTCTGGGGGGAAAATCCCAACTGGACACGCTTCACATTACAATAAAGTGCACTTTCACCCTCTGTTGCATACAAAAGAATGGTCCTTGGATATTTTTTTTTATCAAAAGAAATCTATTACTTTTACCTCTGTTAAATACATATGAATTATGTCATGTTTAATATTGTACAACACTTCCATCTAGTGGTCAAACTTGGACATAACATGCCTGATTCGTGATGGATGGCAGATATCAAATGCAGCAATGCATTATTGAGCAGAATATTTTATTGGGCATATTGAAGTGGAGAATGTCAGCTTTATGTATTGATCCAATGCTAAGTGCAGTACTCACTGGCTGTTCCAAAGCAAGCATATAGTATACATACTTTAGCAAGACATGCAACAGAATAATATTTTCAAATGACTTAGGAGCTTTTTTCACAATTTCTTTCAAAGCATTTTGTGCAGAATAACTTAGTGTAGCTATGATCAGATTGTTCATTTTGCTATTTGCAATAATTTATTGTAGTCCAAAAGCAAAAGACGATTTTCAGTGTTTTTTGTGTTATTTGAACATGAATACAAAGATGAAATAATCTATAGTGCATAGAAACACATAAAACAACTCAATAAAAACACATGAGAGGATGTAGCTACATAAGCCACAAGCTGTTGTTAATTCTGCTTTTCTAACAAAGGTGCGTTGATGGAAACAGTTTGTCTGCTGATTACTTTCTTGCATTCCTGTTGTTGTTTTTTTTCTGGACTCTATGTGAAAGGCCATTGTCAAACATTTTAAGGCAAAAATTCCCTATCTGGACATTAAAGATTTCTATCTTTCTAATATTTAAGGAGTGTTTCTCCTTTAACCCTTTGTAGGGCACTCAGTGAAATGCTTTGAAAATCAATATTTCAAGCCAATAGTGTTATTGGAATCCAGGACAAGACCATATTACCTAACATTGAAAAAATATGGATAATTTGATGGCAAAAATAAATTTCAATGTAATAACAAGAAATACCAACTTGCCCAAATATATTAAGAAAAATAAGTGCTTCCATAAGAAATTCATGAAAAACACCCTGAGAGTAAAAGAAACACTTTTGGTCCAACATAACTTTAGAGGCACTAATGCTGCTACCAGTACTTACATTATTTAGCTTATAAACCTAAATATGATTCTTAACTAGGCTTATTATTTTTTTAACTTTTAAATTAGCCTTTTACCTTTTTTTCTTGACTTTTTTTTTCAACTTAATTTAAAGCAATATATCATTCAAGGGCTCATCTAATTGGTCAAACGCCAAAATAAGATGCACAGCCATGTAGCAGTATCTTTGCTTAATGACTGGATATAAATCTTGTGCTTCTCGACGTCACGGAGGGACCTGGGTCTCCGTTTGTAAGGGGTATGCAAGTGATCAAAAACAGTAACTTGCCCTATAAATGGTTAAATTCTTCTCTCTTGCAATTTGACAATTTTAAAAGTGCATTCATTTGAACCAAAAGTGAAAAATAGCAATGAGATAAATAAATGCAAAATACACCACATGCTTTTTTTTGTTTGTTTTGGCAAATTATAAACTCCAAAAATTCAACTTAAGGAAAAACATCAAAAACACCTCCTCACAACACCTCCATTGAGACAGTCTGCAAGAGAATTGCCCAAAGCATATCAGGGAACCCATTTAGTCAATGGGCCAAGTTGCTGTGAGGTGAACCTAAATCCTAAATGTTAAAATTAATTTAATATGTTAACTTTCTGTAGTTGAAATTAATTACTTTTTTTCCTGACATTAGAATATGACCAGACTTTCTTATGTGATTTTTTTTCTTCATTCAAACTAAATACTTCATGGGGTGTACTATTTTCTCATATTAATAAACAACAATATTCTTTCACTGATTAAATCAGAGAAAAGCGGATCATGCAGCAAATGATTGATAATTTGTTGAACTAACAGATACAAAATCAGAATATTTGGTGGAAATCAATGTAAGAACAATAAAAAAATGTCAACATGTAGTTTCAATTGTATTTCTACATAAAAAATATGCATACAAGTGTTAAAGTAATAAAAAAAAAAACACGTAAAGTTTATTATCTGAAATCAGTTAAGTTGCTTCAGCACTTAGAAAAAGTCATCAGTAAAAAAACAATCATAATACATTAAAAAATAATTCTTCCTCTATGAAAATCCCAGAGACAATAAACACTGAAAACATCAGACTGAAACATTAGTGTAAAACATCTAAAAAGTATTTCAAAATTTGTTATTAATGTTTCCACTGGATGACTAGAAAACGTCCAAAAACACTGTTTTAAAAAAGTAAGCAAACTCTCTATATTAACAAAAAAGAAAATACAGGAAAACAAGTGACATATTATCATGCTGTACCTTAGATTTTTTTTTTTTTTATAAATAATGCTCAGGGAAGGATTACAGAGTTTATTAAAAGGTAATCCTTCTTTTGTCCTGATGGAATGTCACTTTTTCCTGTAAGAAGCTTTTTGGTTTAAATTTAATATTGGGGACTTTTGTGGGCATAAAAAAAATCTAATCCATTTTACTGCTTTGTTATTTAATCTATTTTTATGTTGTTGTTTTTTTCAATAAAGGCTCGATCTAAGCTCCTAAATGTGTTTTTATTTCTAGTTAACCCTTTAAAGCCCGATCCAAGAATAAAACAAAACAGAAAATTACTTTTTTTTGGTTTGAA